CACCCTACCCCTGCCCCCCAAGTTTACCAACCCCCCCCCCCCCCCCTCCCCCATAATATAACCACCTGGTCTCCTATTTTGTCCCGCAAGTCAAGTTATAAAGGGTGGTCATCTATTGCGGTCAAATGTTGTCGCCTGCTAGTAGCCCGACGGTAACCTCTCGTACTTGAAGCCCGTCCCCTATTAGAAGTACGCTTTGCGAAATTTTTTTGAAATTCCCCTATAGGTAGATATAGGGCATTTTCGGATTTTTCCCGTGGGCATAACAGAAGACCATGGTCTTCTATTTGGCTTTCAAGTCATATAATCGGCAATGGTCTTCTGTTATGGGGGGGGGGGGGGGGGGCCAAACTTTGAAATTTAAAAATGGAAAAACAAATGGGGGGGCCCTAAAAATTTTTTGTTTTATGGGTTTTNTTGAAATAAAAAGAAAAATTTTGTATTCTAGTGTAGCGGGGGGGTTGGGGGTGGGGGTTATTAAATATTGTTTGTGGGGTGGGGGGGGTGGTGTGGGGGGGGGGGGCGGGGGTGTTTTGGGGGGGGGGGGGGGGGGCCGTAACTTGCAAAGTTAGAAAGGAGAAACAGAATGCGTCTGACGTAACATGATTGTGTTGAATGCTTTTGATGTTCTTTTGAAGTATTTCTCAGATTCTTAGTATTGCGTCTACATTAAATAATGTTTCTCTTACGTACGCATATGCCTTGGAATTTCAAAGAAAAACACAATAAAACGTTTAGATTATCAAAATGTATCGTCGTGGAAAACTTCTTATAAGAAAAGCGAAGTAGAAAACGTTAACTTAAAACTATAATGGCAGCATGTTCTATTCGAGCAACCAAGTGTCCTGGTTGTGAGAAAATGACAACTGATTACTGCACTCATCAAGTATCTTTTCCGGATGCAATCTTAATGTGTGTTTGAATTTTAGCATCTGAACTTTGTCGTATAAATAAAAAACTTGCTGAATGTTATGAGAAAAACAACGACTATGAAACATCAATCGCCTTTTTTACAAAATGTTTGGATCTTTTTAATGACCAACCATCAAAAATGTTGAATACTCACGGTTCTATTGGCTCTCTTTACTGTAAATTAAAAAGGTACGAACTAGCTCGTCAAGAATATGAAAAAAAGTTAAAATTTATTAACAATGATGATCAAAATGGCATTGGTTTATGTTATGTACAAATTGGTTGGTGTTATATGCGAGAAAAATCGACTGATCAAGCTCTTGAATATTACTTAAAAGGTTTAAAGTTATGTACAGATAACTCGATATTACTTGATGCTTATTTAGGTTTATGTGACTGTTATTTTACTAAAACAGATTTTGATCAAGCTTTAGTTTACTATAATAAAGCAATAGAATATACTGATGATAAAGAAGCACTACAAAAGATTAATTTATTTTTGGATAAAAGTATATGCTATCAATATAAATTAGACTATGAACAAGCATTAGAAGAATGCAAAACCTGTTTGAAATTAATTATATTAAACCAGGATAATAAACAACAGCAGTCAGTTGACAAGTAAGTACGACTATGCCACCTTATCGATGAGAGTCAGCGGTTTTCCAAGGATTCTTAGGAAAAATGGTTGAGAGACAAAATGCTCTTCAAACAGCAATATTCACGTTACGAAACGTTTACACTGTTTTCGTTCGCATATAGTAATAGCATAAACTTCAGACACAAGCTCAGTACAGGATGAATGCTATTAACACATATAATAGGTAAAAAAGCTCATGATACATGTGTACTATTTGATCCGATGAAAAAGTAACTTTTACACTATCCACCTCGACATAACCGAGTGAGATACGCAAGAGTAGCATTTAAACGAATGGTACATTATACTTGCAATCGTTCCATATTGAATTAAAGTCAATATTTTACTGTAGCTTTTTCTTTTGTCATGCCATTCATCTGCCATCAGTATTTTTCTAGACTCCTGCTAAACAGCAACAAAAGTGACAATGATGGTGATACAAATGATATAGTATATTATACGGACTTAATTGATGATAATCAGATTGAAAATGATTAGCTGTCGGTAATATATCATAATATTGGCTTTTGTTATTATAAACTGAATTTTTACTTATTATCAGTAAAATATTACAAAAAATGTTTAGAATTATGTTCAAGTGCAATAACTACAACAGAACAACAAAAAATATTAAACAATAAACCACTCTATGCTATAATGTGTTTGTATTATATTGTAGGTGATAATAAAATAGCACTCGACTATGCATTTAAATATTTAAGAATATTAGAAGCAATTGAACTACGTGAAACTCAAGAACAAATTGAACTAGCTAAGTGTTATAATTCCATCGGTCACATCTACTATTGGAATAATGAATATAAATTAGCTTTAGATTATTGTCAAGAAGCAATTGACTTATATCAACTATTGACTCTTGAAATTGTAGATCAACAACAAGCTTATGCCAATGCTTGGAGCTCTTTAGCTGTTATATATTATCAGTTAGATCAAATTTCAGAATGTGTAGATTGTTGTCAAAAGTCAATGGAAATATTTTATAAAACATCAACAACTGCCCATTTTACAGTAGGTTTTAATTATGAACTGTATGCTAATCTACATCTTAAAAATGGACAACATTGGGTGGCTGAAGAATTTTACAAAAAAGCATTGGATATAATTAAGACTCATGCACCATATGAACTACAAGTGATTAGCAGAATTGAAAATAAGTTAATTAATATGTTTGTTGAACAATCTTAGGTAATAAGACTGATCATCAATAATCAAAAATTCATTGACATATTAGTATTTTCACTATTCAGGCATCATCCGGAAATCGCCGTCGCCGCGGATTCTTATATGTTAAAGTGTAAATGTGCAAACGTGCATAATTGAGGGTGAGGAAGTGAGGATGTGTGTGGAGCACTTCTTCACCTGCTTCACTCTCATTTCTCCACTCTCACCCTCACTCGCCGCGAGTTCGTATATGTTAAGGTGGTAAAGTGTTAACACTTTAACACCGAATCCGCGGCGACGGCGATTTCCGGATGTTATGACTATTCATAATTCTTTTAGAAAGTAGAGATTTAACTGTATTTTGTAAAAAAGCGCGTATGACCAGATAAGGTTAAAATCCGCCTTTCCGAATGGTTTTTACAAATATTTTTATTCCTCGTCACTTAAAAGAATTGTTTACTATTCCAGAATAAAACAGCTCAGTTGGAAAATTACCAGGACCAAAACATAATAAAACTAGCTGAAATGCCTCGAAGAACGAGAGAGGTGTTTCTTGGATAGCTAACCCTTAGTGTATAAAGTAATTATTCTTCGTTGGTAACAACAGTACAGTGGTAGAGAATATGACATCTTGTTTCAATATGACTCATGCACATCGGACAAATGTACGAATTGCTGCTTTATTAGTATTGTTGTCTGAGTATAGTTCAAACAGCCAGGGCGGGCGTTTTTAATGCTTTTCCTTCGACAAAGTCAACTTTTCAAACATACCTTCAACATCTTTTTAAAATCATACTCATTTCAGATAATCTCTAGAAGTCGACAATCTTTTTTTGCATTGATGCGAGTTTTTAATATTCTTTCTGTCATCGGTGCGTGGTTTTTTACAGTATCAAAAAGGTTTTTTTTCTCGGAATAAAATCTCAATTTGTATTTTCAAACATATTATGTGTCTCTTTCCCCTTTTTTTCCTATTATACCAGTACCGACCAATACCAATACCTACCAATACCAATACCGACCAATACCACCAATACCAATACTCCAAAACCGTATTGGTATTGTTACATCCCTACCGGGAAGCCAAAAGAGAAGCAAAATTTCCAATCGAGCATTTCCAAACGCAAATAAGTTCTTGAAAGTTTAAGTCCAGTCCAGTCCGGGTCAATGAATTTAAAAAATTTCCGTTCCATACGGATTCTGGCTCTATGATATATTATCTATATTCTGTAAGTTTCATTATCCGTAGACGACTTTTTTTCTGTTATCAAAGTTAACTGATTTCTTGCGACATCTATCTCTGAACTGCAGAAAAAGTTTGATTAGCTTTTCTTTCTCTGCATCAATATGTTTCAGATCATTTCCTTGAATATTTTTCATTCTCGTAGTTAAAAAAATTTTTCTATGTTTCTCCTTTATGGTTAGCCTATCCACAGAATATCCGTGCCTGTTAGCCGTTTTTCCGTATTTTGCGGGGTGAGATTAAAACGCTTAAGATTTTTGCTGAAGCTTAACGCTTAAGACTGATAATTGGTTGGATAAAGTGTGGACTGTCGCTGGTATATTCAGGAAGGAAAAAGCATGGGTATTGAGGAAAAAGAAACCAAAAAATGGCGAAATAGCACACTGTAAAAAAAGAAGACGGATGAAATGTCTAAAAAAGACGGGCGCGCGTCTATTCTAAACACTTCGACCATTTCTTTATTGGTCAAAATATCAAAAAATCAGACACATGAACCATCTTGTTAAGACAGAAAATGATCGATCTCGTAGGGACATCACTACCCTCCCCTACGCTCATTTGAGGCACTGCAAATAAAACTCAGAAATCGCCAATAAACTGATCATACGAGATCAAAACCTAAGCATTTCTACTACGCACCACCTAAGTGGGAAAAAACAAATAGCCAGTTTGTGATTGAACTTTTTATAACAAATCAGATATGAAAAAGAAAAATTACAATGATAGTAAGAAATTGTCATCAATACACACATGAATAAATAAATATAAATTAGTAAAACTAAAGTTCACGTGCTTGGGCTAGTAACTAAAACAAAAGAAAGAGTT